CACCGCTTGAGCCACATCCCCAGCCCCCGGGAGCGAGGATTTAATGTGAAGGAACACAAAGAAACTAATGGGGTGATGGATATGTTCTAAAATTGGACTGTCTTTATGGCTATACAACTCTACACTTTCAGTAAAAATTACTGAGTGGTATACTTTTAAATGGTTGGATATTATGGTGTACAAATTATAACTTAATGAGGGTGCTATAAGAAAATGAAAGCCAGTGGCTGGGGCTGCAGCTCAGTGGCATTGTGCTTGTCTGAAATGTGTGAGGCCCTGAGTTTGATTCTTAGCACTGCATAAAAATAAACAAATAAAATAAAGGCTTTATGTCCATCTACAACTACAAAAAAAATATTAAAATAAAGAGAGAGAGAGAGAGAGAGAGAAAAGAAAAGCCAGAACTTAGTGTTACGTGTCTCTGTAACTTTGATGCTCAGTCTTGGGGAACAGTCAGTGAACATATGTCAAATTAAAGAAAGGAAAACTGGGGGGAGGAGGCAACTTTGTTACAAACATATTTAAAAGTATGAGAGGCTCAGAAACAGTATACATATTACCTAGACTTCATATAAACATGGAACAAATGAGGAAGTTAGGACAATGAACTGGATCATAATAGGGACACCATATATTTATACACATATAAGCAGATGGCTCACTCTTCAGAGTATAGCTGCTATGTTCTCTGCTTCAAGACATACCTTCCCTGTCTCCCCTAGTCACTTCCTTTTTCCATTTTTTTTTTTTTAAGGTACTGGGGACTGAACTTGAACCCAGGGGTGCTCTACCACTAAGCTATATCCCCAGCTCCCTTTTTTATTTATTTGTTCTAATCTGTTATATGTGACAGCACCCAGCTCTTTTTATTTTGAGACAGAGTCTTGTTAAATTGCCCAGGCTAGCCTCAAATTTGGTATCCTCCTGCCTCAGGTTCCTGAGTCACTAGGATTATAAGCATGCGCCACTGTGCCTGGCCAGCATACCCAATTCTTACACAACCCCCTTCATCCATCCCTTATACTGTTTTCTGGATTAGACGAAAAAACCCTCCAGGGCAAGGAAATATCTTCCTCATCTCTGTAACTTTGATGCTCAGTYTTGGGGAATAGTCAGTGAACATCTGTCGAATTATTATGAAAGAAAAACTGGGGGGGGAGGAGGCAACTTTGTTACAAACATATTTAAAAGTATAAGAGAGAGGCTCAGAAACAGTATACATATTAATTTAGGAGTCAGGCTAGACTAATTGTTAGACTGGAAAAGTATACACTCAAATACCTTCCTTGGATATGACTAAAATTCATAAAATTGGATTTTTCAGTTCACAAACATATTAGACTTTCCAAGAGTAGCCTGCTCCGTAAGCAAACAAACCAGTAAAGAAAAATGATTTCCCTGAAGACACCTGATAGGATTAGCACAGAAGCCCAGGTACAGTTCCTCTCTGGAAAGGACTGTGCAGGGAGTCACACRACCAGGTCAGGCTAACTCTTCTATCCTCCTCTTTCTCTCATCTTACCCAGTCAAACACAGAGCAAGCTGGGAAGCCTAGAAGTGACCTCTGAAGTGGCCTTGGGTACACAACTTCGCATGGAGTGTGAAATACAAAGAAGCTGGAGGTMAAAAGTACACGTGGGTCAGTTTCTCAGGCTCCTATCCCTCATGTAACAATAAGGTCCCGGCGACAAAAGCCACACACCTTAGAAACAGGGGTAAACCAGGATTCAGGTAGCAGGAGGCACAGGGAGGGTTAAACCTTCTACGTGTCTCAGAAGTATAGGGCTTGAGAGAAAAAGGGAGGCACGAGACAGAGACATTACGAGTGGGGAATGCCGGAGACTGGGACGATAAGAAATGGTACTTGGGCCGGCCACGAATTTGGCAAGGAAGGTTCTATGGGTCTCTGAGAGTTTGGGGAAAGGTGCGCTCCGGTACACGGAGGATGGGAGCCTGAGGAATGAGGGAGGAAGACCCGGGGCCTGAGCGTGAGGGGTCCTGGACCTTCGTGCAATGGGGTCCTGCTGCGGACACGAGTCCTGGAGCGCTCTGGCGCAACACGCCAGGAGGCGGGCCGGGCGCCAGTGGGTGTGACGAGAACCCCAGAGCCGGTCCGAGGTCCCGCCCGCCGCTTACGCCACTCCTTGCGAGCCGAGCAGGGGTGAGGGGCTTCCAGTCCGTGAGACCTGGGACTCACCTTCCTCCCTCCCCACCGGCTGGGTGCCGGACACTGCTTCCCACAGGCGGCGCGCCCTCTCGTGGTCGAATCGCACCCCCTCAGGTTCCCGGCCCTCCCGCTCCTCCGAGTTCGTGCAAGGCCCGGCCCCTCCGCTATCCGCAGTCTCCACTGTACCCAACATCGGACTCTCCATCTTTCCTGCAAGCCCTCGCCGGTCGAGAGCGGCTCCTGCACCTCAGTATCGCGAGACGTGGGTGGGCGTGGATTGGGCCCGGCTGACAAATCTCGCGAGGCTTAGACGCCGAAGACCGCGAGGAGGTGCAGGACCTGGAGCACGTTTCCTTTTGCAGTCTTTGGGAGTTTGGGGTGTTTGCGGTAGTTTCGCAAACTGATCGCGGTTTCCACAGCAAGGTTCCCCCCGTGAGATGGGCTCGTGCAGTTCTTGGCTTAGGGTCCTCACCTTGCTCACTATCACCAGTTGACACTTCTCAATTCGTCTTGTTATGGAAACTAAGATCCAGATCCTAAAAAATTTGTTACTAGTAAGAAAGTGGTAATGTTAGATTTCATCATTATGTTTCGATTACTGCTGATAATATTACCTTTTGTTGAATTCTAAGTGGCAACCCCTAGTTCAGACCTTTCTTTAAATTCTGGACCTATGTCTTGGTAGGCTTTTCCAAAGGTAACTGTCAAACCCCAAGTTTTATCTTCCAATTTTTGACCTGCTTCTTCCCCGAGTCTTTCTGAGCCACCGTCTCTTAGGTTATTTATTATAGTTGTATCCTTGCTAGCTCCTGGTTTTGCCCCTCGGGTGTTCCCAGCATAGCAGCCCCAGGGACTCTCCTACAAGTCTGATCATGACATTCTCATACTCAAATCCTGCAGTGGCTTTCTATCTTAGTAAAATCCAAAGTCCTTATTTTAACCAACAAGACTTATGCAGTCTGACTTCCCTTAACTTCTCTGACCTTAGCTATTATTGTATTATTCAATCCTCAAATCTGTAATTCCCCTCCCAGTTACAGTGACCTTTTGGATTGTACTTTTCCCATGTATTCTCATGGTTCTGTCTCTTCCTTTTCTTATCCCTCCACACACTCCATGTCCTCCTTTCCTCCCCTTTATTCCTCTTCAACATTTATCAGACATGTTATATGTTTTGCTTTTTATCTTGTTTRTTTTTTACCTCCCCACTCCCTGGAAAACAGGGATTTTTGTCTATTTTGTTCACAGCTGAATCCCCAGCATCTTGAAATAGATCCTGAACTCTCCTAGGTACATACAAAATATTTCTTGAATGAATGAAACTTATAATATAATTACCTCATTTTAATTACCTCATTTATTCAAATACTTATTGAGAATTTATTATGAATAATGATATGTTTGGGGCATTGGAATACTGTGATGAACAAGACAGAAGCTCTAATAGTTTTTTTTTAATTATTGTAGTGCAGGAAAGAATAATAAAATTAACTAATAAGATAAAACAAGAAAATATATTGGATAAATGATGAGCGAGGAATGGTACTTAGGATATTCATGGAAAAACAGTTGAGCTAAGACTTGATTTGAAGAAAGGGATGGTCATGTGAAGAACTAGGAAAGAGTGTTTCAGGAAGCCACTCAGACAGGAGTGAGCTTAATGTGTTGGAAGAACAGTAAAAAAGACAATATGGTTGGAACCTAGTGAACCAAGGTGGAAATGGTAGCAAAGGAGGCCATAGAGGATAGAGATTAATCTTGCCTGAAATCACCCAAATCATCAGATCAGTGGGCGTGGGGGGGTACTCGGACCCTTGACCACCGAGCACAGACAGGTCTCACTGAGGTGCTTAGTGCCTCAAGGTTGCTGAGGCTGGCTTTGAACTTTGGATTCTCCTGCTGCATCCTCCAGAGCTGCTGGGATTACAGGCATGCACCCAAGCACCTGACCCATTTTTTTAAAAAAAGAATATTTTCAGTTGCGGATTTTCACAGTACCTTTATTTGGTTTATTAATGTGGTGCTGGGGACCGAACCCAGTGTTTCACACGTGCTATGTGAGCACTCTACCACTGTGCCACAACCCCAGCCCTGTACTTTACCCATTTTCACTATAAGTCTTTACTTATTCATAATTCCCTCTTTTTTTTTTTTTAAAGAGAGAGTGAGAGAGGAGAGAGAGAGAGAGAGAGAGAGAGAGAGAGAGAGAGAATTTTTAATATTTATTTTTTAGTTCTCGGCGGACACAACATCTTTGTTGGTATGTGGTGCTGAGGATCGAACCCGGGCCGCACGCATGCCAGGAGAGCGCGCTACCGCTTGAGCCACATCCCCAGCCCAATAATTCCCTCTTTTAAAAATATTTTTTTTTAATTGTAGGTGGACACAATGCCTTTCTTTTTCTTTTTTTATGTGGTACTGAGGCTCGAACCCAGTGCCTCACCCACCTAGGAAAGCACTCTACCACTGAGCCACAACCCCAGCCCCTTATAATTCCCTCTTAATCTGCAGGGGACATATTCCAAAACGTTCCATGAATGGAGGAAAATGCAGATCATACTGAATTATGTATATACTGTTTTTTCCTCTATGTAACTATCATAAAATTTAATTTATAAATTAGACATAGTAAGAAATTAATAACAATAAATAATAATAGAATAGAATAATTAAATTATATACTGTAATGAAAGTTATTTAAAACTTATGAATTATTTATTTTTGAAATTTTCCATTTAATATTTTCTGTCCATAGTTGATCCTGGGCAACTGAAATCATGAAAAGTGAAACCACAGATAAAGGGGAACTACTATACTAACAATATTGAGTACCAGCTCTATGTCAGGCCTTAGGCTCCAAACTTTCCAATACAGTAGATGACTGATGTTTGTGCAGTGCTTTACAGTTTACAGAGGACCTTTACCATATATCATAATTTTTAAGCTTCAGGGAATTTCTCCTATGAGGGATTTTTTCATATTTGACAATAAAAAAACAGACTGTGAGAGGTGAAGATTTTGTCAGGGTCAAATACCTAGATAATTACAGAGCTCTTGCTTGGATGCTAGTCCTTTGACTGCAAACCATGTCCTTTTGCTAACACCAGATACCTGGCCTAAAAGCCAGTGGTTATACTTATTTATCTTGTATTCTGTTGTTTATCTTAAGAGTTCTAGTTATCCATATTTGAATAGCAAGAGTTATTCAGCTGGATATCCAAGGGACAAAGGATATTTTTTACAAAGTCCCAGAACCCACATGGATACTTTTGAACAATATGAAGCTAATCCTGGGAGGGAAATATTTAAATTGCTGTGCATATTAAAATAGAACCCTTCCTCCCACTCTCCCCCCTCCACTTTCCTTCTACTCTTAATCCAAATGATGCTCAAAATAATTTCTACTCTCCAAACAAATACTGTCGGGGCTCATCCCGTGTGCCACAGAGGCAGAGTCCTGAGCTATAGTACTAAGTGTCTGAACAGTCCTCATTGTCACTAGTTTTTTGCTTTGTCGTTGTGTACATGTTTCCCAGAATGGCCCAGACTCAGATTCCTTGTTGGGACCTGGTATTGCAGGTGATGCCTCATATTTTGGGGACTGACTTTTTATTTCTTCTGGGTAAAAAAGGAGACTCATTTCCCAGCACATACTGCTGTTTTGTTTTTTGCCATTGGAGATGAATGATCACAGAGAAAGGACTTTACCAAGGGATAAGAACTGAGTACAGTTCATACATTTCAGTTGTATAAACTGTGTGTGTGTGTGTGTGTCTGTGTGTGTGTATCTGTGTGTCTGTGTGTGTGTGTGTGTGTGTGGCACGAACCTGCACTACAGCATTTAGTTAAAATATAGTTTCTGCTTTCAGGAAAACTATCCTCTAGTTTGTCTAACTGTAATATATCTATCTAGGCATTGTAGTTTTTATAAACTATATAATATCAGGGCTGGGGTTGTAGCTCAGTGGTAGAGCGCTTGCCTAGCATGTGTGAGGCACTGATTTTGATCCTCAGCACCACATAAAGAAAAATAAACAAAATAGGGCTAGGGATGTGGCTCAAGCGGTAGCGCGCTCGCCTGGCATGCGTGTGGCCTGGTTTGGATCCTCAGCACCACATACAAACAAAGATGTTGTGTCCACCGARAGCTAAAAAATAAATATTAAAATTCTCTTTCAAAAAAAAGAAAAATAAACAAAATAAAGGTATTATGTCCATCTACAACTAAAAAAATAAAAAATAAAATAAAACACATAAAAATATATCGGGGGTAGATGTTAACTGCCATAATAGAGTTAACAATGAAGGTTAGAGTGGATGGGGACAGAAAATGAATCCATAATGTGGGSATCTTGATGATAACCCCACATCATGATAACTCCTAGTGTGTTTTGTACTTCTTAATTGGAGGTACATCTGTAACTGTTAGAGGTGATTGCAGATCTGGTATGTTGTTTTCTAGTTGTTTTTTGCTTTTGGCTTTTGTATTTGTTTTGGTGATACTAGGGATTGAACTCAGGTGCACTCTAGCACTGAACTACATCCCCAGCCTTTTTTATTTTTTATTTTGTAACAGAGTCTCATTGAGTTTCCCAGGCTGGTCTCGAACTTGAGATTGCAGCCAGTATTACAGACATGCCTCACCATGCCTAGCTGCAGATTAGTTTTTACTAATGGAATGTGAAGTATTGTTTGAATCTCAACCTGAGATTGATCCAAAACAGCAAGAGTGCCCTTGAGGAAAACTGGAAAAACCACACTCATGTGGGATTGGGGGTACACATTTTTGCTACAATCCTTGTTCACTTCTCCGGCTGGACAATTTTGTAGTGCTTTCTGGGTTGCAAGAAAGCAGTATCATCAGGAGATGCCAGTTTTAATTCAGAGACTTTTCAAGGACAGATTTGAGGGTATAGGAAAGTTGCTGGTCATAGACTGGGATTTCCAGAGCATTTTGAGAAGGCAAGGAAAAAGAAGGATAAGGTTATATTCAATAATGTAACCCAGGGGCTGGGGATGTGGCTCAAGTGGTAGCACGCTTGCCTGGTATACGTGCGGCCCGGGTTCGATCCTCAGCACCACATACCAACAAAGATGTCGTGTCCGCCGAGAACTAAAAAATAAATATTAAAAATTCTCTCTCTCTCTCTCCTCTCTCACTCTTTCTTTAAAAAAAAAATAATGTAACCCAGCTTTTCCACCTTACATCCCACTTGGAAAATGAACATA